CCTCCCTTCTCCCCTTTCCTCCTCTTCTCCCCCTATTTCCCCTCTTCCTGTGCCCCTTTACCCTGCTTGCACTTTCTCTAAAATAAAATGAACAAAGAATAGTTCTTGAAATGCACAGGGACAAAGAATTCTGAGTGTAGAATACAATGCCCACAGGTACATGTGTATGGAAACCTGCAATTCATACTTGGGTACAAACGGTTGTCTTGTAAATCGGAAAAAACATTTTAGCACTTAGAAGGTTAGACTAAAATATTACTTGATTCCTCTTGGCTAAAGAAGTCATCCCTCCTTGTTTGTTTCTTATTTAATTTAGGACTCCTATGGAAGGTTTTTAGTTTTTGGCCTAATTTTTTCTTTCTTTTAGGCAATGTGGCTGGGATACCCTGGGACTAGTGGTGCGCTTTTCATGGATTATATCATCACTGATCAGGAAACTTCTCCAGCTGAAGTTGCTGAGCAGTATTCCGAGAAACTGGCTTATATGCCACATACATTCTTTATTGGTGATCATGCCAATATGTTCCCTCACTTGAAGGTAGGTAGAAAAACAGTGCTATGTGGGAATTGCAAAGAACTGTAGTCATTTATTTCCTTGCTATTGTCTCTATGCATCCTAAAAGATACGTGTGTCAAACTTTTTTTTTTTTTGATTAGAAAAAAGCAGTCATCGATTTTAAGTCCAATGGGCACATTTATGACAATCGGATTGTTCTGAATGGCATTGACCTCAAAGCATTTCTTGATAGTCTGCCAGATGTGAAAATTGTCAAGGTCAGAACCTGGTCCATATTGTCATTGAAACAAAGTTATCTGCATTTGGGATCTTTTCCCTAATGATACGTTTTGTTGTTTTTCTTAAAGATGAAATGTCCTGATGGAGGAGACAATGGGGACAGCAGTAATACAGCTCTTAATATGCCTGTTATTCCTATGAATACTATTGCAGAAGCAGTTATTGAAATGATTAACAGAGGGCAAATCCAGATAACAATTAATGGATTCAGTATTAGCAATGGACTAGCAACTACCCAGGTGAGAAGAGACAAATAGAATGTAATGTGTACCACCAACTATTCATTTGTCTCCTTTAAGTCTCATAACTCCAGGAGGTATAAGCATCATTATCCCTGTTTTATAGGAGAGGAAATAAAAGTTCAGTGGAAATTGGTATCTTCTATAGCTTTGTCTTATTTTAAATGTCTGTTGGATTCAGCCAGCTGGTCACTTAATGAGGGTCTACTGTATTAACAGTATCTTACTGTTTCCTATCTGTGGCTTTCCTCTTAAAAATGGTGAACTATCTGTAGACTTCATACAATTTCTTCTGTAACTCAATCTTTCCCTAGTTAAATCTCTCTACTTTTTAAGACTTTCAGTTCAGGCAGCTTCTCCAGGAATCCATTCCTGTCCTTATCATTAATCTCACCTTTCCCGTTCCATTGGTACCTATCTGTTCTGTTTCCTTAATGTTTGGGTTATATTTTTACATGCAGCACAACATGTTATAATTCCCTGTGTTTGTATTTCTTCTCCACTGAGTTCAATTACTTTAGGGCCCATGTCTTAGCCACAGTAATGTAGTATTTGTTCAATAGATATATATTGCATGTTTGAATAAGTGAATAGGTAGCGCTGTCAAGATATTAGAAGGCAAGGAGTTAACAGTTTTACTGGTATAACATTTCATACCAAGGGTGCTCAAAATGAGCTCTTTACTCTCAGGCCAGCTCCTGTTAAGATAAAGGAATTAATATTGGGCTAAACCGACAGGGGTGTGTTTTTTCTTACTCTCTGGTTACCTGTCCTTTGGAGCAATAGGACAGACCTGTTTGACTCAAGAAAAACGTGTATGTGTATGTATGTATGTGTGTATATACATATATACATATATATACATATACATACATATATATGTGTATATATATGTGTGTGTGTGTGTGTGTATATATGTATATATATATATAGTTCTTGACATTCACAGGGACAAAGAATTTTGAGTGTAGAGCACAATGCCTAAATGTATGAAATGTCCATACACACCTGGAATAGTTACATAATGGAAGATAGTACCCAGATGTGTGGGAATTGTAAGATTATAAATGTGTACATACTTAGAAATAGTGGTGATCAATGTGAGGAGACACAGTAGAGATCATTTGGAGGAATGATTTAAATTTAGCCTTCAAGGGTGGGTGTGATTTAGAAAAGGACATTTCATTTATTAAAGTGAGCAAAAACTTGCTTTTGAATTAATAGGGTTTTGAAAAGAACTTTTTGGCTTGAGTGGTAAGTTTCAAGGTGTAGTCCTCACTGCTCCCAATTAAAATAATGCTGTAACGTTTTTCTTTTTTCTTTTTTTTGTTTTAATATGTCATGGATATTTTCTCATACTTGAAATGACATGACTTTCAAGGATTATACTTTTTGGCATCTTAAGGAATCTTTATTAATTAAAAAATGCCAGACTATGCTGACTTTCTAAAAATTTTTATTTTTTAATTTAAACCCAAGTTAACATATAATGTAATAATGGTTTCAGGAGTAGAATTTAGTGTTTCATCACTTACATATAACACCCAGTGCTCATTCCCTCCACACACACACAGCACCCCTCCAGCAATCCTGTTCTCTGTATGTAAGACTTTCTTGGGGTACCTGGGTGGCTCAGTCATTTACGCATCTGACTCTTGATCTCAGCTCAGGTCATGATCTCATGGTTCGGGGGATTAAGCCCCATATCGAGCTCTGCTGATGGCACAGAGCCTGCTTGGGATTTTTTCTTCACCTCTCTCTCAAAATAAATAAACTTAAAACAAAAAAAAAGTCTCTTATGGTTTGCCTCCCTCTCTGTTTTTATCTTGTTTTCCTTCCTTTCCCCTATGTTCATCTGTTTGGTTTCTTAAATTCCACGTATGAGTGAAATCATAATGATATTTACCTTCTGACTTCATTTAGCATAATAAATGCATCCTAGTTCTATCCATGTTGTGGCAAATGGCAAGATTTCATTCCTTTTGATCGGTGAATAATATTCCATGGTATGTATACATATGCCATATCGTCTTTATCCATTCATCAGTTGATGGACATTTGGGCTCTTTTCATAATTTGGATATTGTTGATATCGCTGCTATAAACATTGGGGTGCATGTGGCCCTTCAATTCAGCATTTTTGTATCCTTTGGATAAATACCTAGTAGTACTATTATTGAGTCATAGGGTGGCTCTATTTTTAGTTTTTTTGAGGAACCTCCATACTGTTTTCCAAGTGGCTCTACCAGTTAGTATTCCCACCAGAAGTGCAAAAGTGTTTTCTCCAGATCCTTGCCAACATCTTTTGTTTCTTGAGTCGTTAATGTTAGTCACTCTGACAGGTGTGAGGTGGTATTTTCTTGTGGATTTGATTTGTATTTCCCTGATGATGAGTGAGGTTGAGCATCTTTTCATGTGTTTGTTAGCCACCTGGATGTCTTTGGAAAAGTGTTCATGTCTTGTGCCCATTTCTTCACAGGATTATTTGTTTTTTGGGTGTTGAGGTTGGCAAGTTCTTTATAGCTTTTTGGACACTAACCCTTTATCAGATACGTTATTTGCAAATATCTTCTCCCATTCAGTCAGTTGCCTTTTAGTTTTGCTGATTGTTTCCTTCACTGTGCAGAAGCTTTTTATCTTGAGGTCCCAGTAGTTCATGTTTGCTTTCGTTTCCCTTGCCTCCAGAGACATGTCAAATAAGAAGTTGCTGCAGCCAAGGTCAAAGAGGTTTTTTGCCTGTTTTCTCCATAGGATTTTGATGGTTTCCTGTCTCACATTTAGGTCTTTCATCCATTTTGAGTTTATTTTTTGTGTATGGTGTATGAAAGTGGTTTAGGTTCATTCTTCTGCATGTCGCCATCCAGTTTTCCCAGCACCATTTGCTGAAGAGACTGTCTTTATTCCATTGGGTACTCTTTCCTGCTTTGTTGAAGATTAGCTGACTATACTTTTGTGGGTCCATTTCTGGGTTCCCTATTCTGTTCCATTGATCTATGTGTCTGTTTTTGTGCCAGTACCATACTGTCTTGATATTACAGCTTTGTAATACAGCTTGAAGTCCAGAATTGTGATGCCTCCAACTTTGGTTTTCTTTTTCAACATTGCTTTGGCTATTCAGGGTCTTTTCTGGTTCCATACACATTTTAGAATTGTTTGTTCTACCTCTGTGAAGAATGCTGGTATTATTTTGGCAAGGATTGCATTGAATGTGTAGATTGCTTTGGGTAGTATTGACATTTTAAGAATATTCTTCCAATCCGTAAACATGGCATGTTTTTCTATTTTTTGTGTCGTCTTCATAAGTCTCTTTCATAAGCTTTTTATAGTTTTCAACAGATAGATTTTTTTTTTAAACGTTTATTCATTTTTAATAGTGCACGAGTGGGAGAGGGGCAGAGAGGGAGACACACAGAATCTGAAGCAGACTCCAATCTTTGAGCTGTCAGCACAGAGCCCGATACCGGGCTAGAAACCAAGAACCATGAAATCATGACCTGAGCTGAAGTCGGATGCTCAACCAACAGAGCCACCCAGGCGCCCCCAGCATACAGATCTTTTACCTCTTTGCTTAGGTTTATTCTTAGGTATTTTATGGTTTTTACTATTACTGTAAATGGGATTGATTCCTTGATTTCTCTTGTGCTTCATTATTGGTGTATAGAAATGCCACAGATTTCTGTACGTTGATTTTTTTATCCTGCGACTTTGCTGAATACATGTATCAGTTCTAACAGTTTTTTGGTGGAGTCTTTCAGGTTTTCCATGTAGAGTATTATGTCATTTGAGACTGTGCTGACTGTAAATGTAATCATGTTGTTTTTCTTGTTCTAGATCAACAATAAAGCTGCCACTGGAGAGGAGGTTCCTCGTACCATTATTGTAACCACCCGTTCCCAGTATGGGTTACCAGAAGATGCCATCGTGTACTGTAATTTTAATCAGTTATACAAAATTGACCCTTCTACTCTGCAGATGTGGGCAAACGTGAGTATGAGTAGATTCATTATTCATGTCTAGAGACTACTAAAGATTATTATGTAGGCCGTTTCGCTGAGGCTGCCCTCTATCCCTATTCAGGAGCTGTTGTGCTCATTTCTAAAATGTTGAAAAGAGTAGGTTTTTCAGACGTTTTTGATTTCTCTTTCCAGCGTCTAAATATTACAGCATGAGCCTTTTTAATTTATGTATTCAACACCAGGGATCACACTTTCTTAAAGAGCCATCTTGTATATATTTTTGGTTTTGCAGTCCATACCCTGTTAACATTTGCTGAACTCTGCCATTGGAGCAGGAAAACACCATTAAACATTGTGTAAATGTATGAGTGAGTGTAGGTGTGTTCCAATAAAGTTTTATTTACCAAAACTGGCAACATGCCAGATTTGGCTTCCAGGTTCTAGTTTGCCAGCCCATTGTCTAAACTGATAGCAAAGGTGTACATCTGCCCATACTTAACATTCTTGCAATACTGTAGAGTTATAACCAGGAAGGAATTGATTTATGCCATTACCTGTCAGTCCATTCATCAGACCAGTTTGCACAAACAGGACCCCTGAAAGTTTTAAACTTTAATATAACTGGCTCTTATATAGAGCTAAAATATCAGATATGTGTGTGTGTGTGTGTGTGTGTGTGTGTGTGTGTGTGTGTGTGTGTTTAAAAGGAAAGGTGTGGGTGGAAGAGAAAGCCGATGAGTACAGGCTGACTATCCCTTAATCTTTAGTTGCAAGTGTTCAAAAAAATCCAAAAACTAACAGCTTTTTCAAAAGTTTATGGCAAATTTATTTGACAGCACACCTGCCCTAAACTGATGTTAGGCTGCTTTTTGGTCTTTTATATATTCCAATTAATATGAGTATTCCTGCATCTCAGTGCAGAGGTACTAGTGTGTTTGTTTATAGGGAGTTGCTGCTGAGGGTATTATATATATGTACTACACTGCTTTTTTGAAATCTGAAATCCATCTGTTCTCTTATCTTTCAGGGAAGGGATGGTAAACTTGTGTGGTAACATTGAATAGGTGTAGATCTAAATCAGGGGTTGGCAAGACTATGGCCTGTGGACCAAATCCAGCACACTGCCTGTTTTTGTAAATAAAATTTTATTGACACACAAGCTTGTTTGCATATTGTCTATGGCTGTTTTCCAGTGACAAGGGCAGAATCAAGCAGTTATAACAGAGTCCATGTGGCTGCAAAGCCGAAAGTATTTGCTCTCCAGTCCTTTACAGAAAGTCTGCTGACACCTAATCTTGATTAAGCACATAAAGTTGGGCAAGTGTGAGCTGACTTTATTTGTTGTGTCATGGTGGGGGATTTAAAATTTGAGATGGAAAATTTCTATCTCATCGACAAAAATCACTGCCAGTAACAATTCCCACAGGACGCAGCTGCCTCAGATTTTGCCAATTAGTAACTTGTTTTGTGTCTTACATCAGTCTTCTCTTTCTTTGAACTCTGGGGACAGCTAAGCAGAACAAGAATGTATGATTCAGTTGATCTCATTCATCTATGAAGGAAAGACAAAGTTCACAGCAGGCTGCTCTCTGGGTGACAAGAGTAGACTGCTAGAATTATTAGAGCTCTATGGGAGCCTTTCTTGAGAAGGGTGGAGCTGCTACTAAAAATTATTCTTACTTCCCCCTTTCAGATTCTGAAGCGGGTTCCCAATAGTGTGCTGTGGCTGTTGCGTTTTCCAGCAGTAGGAGAACCTAATATCCAACAATATGCGCAAAACATGGGCCTTCCCCAGAACCGTATCATTTTTTCACCTGTTGCTCCTAAAGAGGAGCATGTCAGGAGAGGCCAGCTGGCTGATGTCTGCCTGGACACTCCGCTCTGTAATGGGCACACCACGGGGATGGATGTCCTCTGGGCAGGAACACCCATGGTAACTATGCCAGGTGAGTTGCTGATAAATCAAAGGACTCTTCTTTGTCCTTTTTATTTTTTTAAAGTTTATTTTGAGAGAGAGAGGATGAGGGAGAGAGAATCCCAAGCAGGCTCCATGCTGTCAGCATGAGCCTGATGCAAGGCTCGAACTCATGGACTGTGGGATCATGACCTGAGCTGAAATCAAGAGTCAGACACTTAACCAACTGAGCCACCCAGACGCGCCCCTTCCTTGTTCTTTTTATTTATTTTTTATTTCCTTTTAACATATCTTTAGAAGTTTATTTCTTTTGAGAGAGCGCGCGAGTGGGGGCCAGTGGGCAGAGAGAGAGGGAGACAGAGAATCCCAAGCAGGTTTGTGCTGTCAGTGTAGAGCCTGATGCAGGGCTCGATCTCACAAAACCGTGAGATCATGACCTGAACCGAAACTAAGAGCCAGACACTTAACTGACTGAGCCACCCAGGTGCCCCTTTTCCTTGTTGTTTTTAAAATCTCCCTGGGGAGACATTTTTAGGTGAAAATTTGTGTACTAGAAACAGCGTTTAGGGCAAGATGATAAATGAGCTTTGTTCATGTCTAAGCACTTTGCTTCATTCTCCTCCTCTGTATTGTGTGGGTACTTAACATAAATAACAATAGCTGCCGTTTACATTCTCAGACATGCAGTTTGTTCCCTTTTTTATTACAGGAGAGACACTTGCTTCTCGAGTTGCAGCTTCCCAGCTCACTTGTTTAGGTTGTCTTGAGCTTATTGCTAAAAATAGACAAGAATATGAAGACATAGCTGTGAAACTAGGAACGGATCTAGAATAGTAAGTAAACTTCTATGAACAAATTGCATGGTAAAGGAGATAGATGCAGAAAATTTAGAGGGAATATAGGTGTTAGGAAATGAAATCAGTAAAGAAGGCTAATATGAAATAGGTGGATTAGTTGTACGATCTCTAGATGAGAGAACTTTCTAAACTTTCGTAAACACAGTGGCCAATAGGTTTTACTATGTAAAGGGTAAATGGCTGAATAAGAGTGAGTCAAGAAAATTAAAAGGCAGGGAAAAAACCTTTCGTTTCTGATGTCAAGTAATAGTAGCCTGGCTATAGAAAGACTGAAGAACATTTATATCTTAAATTCTTTAATAGGAAAGTAAATAAGGAAGTGAGCAGACAAGTCACTGAAGTGGAAATACAAATGGTTAACAGGGAAAACGTTTCAGCCTCTGTAGAAGTATAGATATAACACTGTGTTATACCCAGTATTTGCCTACAAAATAAAATATTTTTAATATGATACCATTGAGGGAGCACTGAGGTGCTGGCTTTTTCATACATTTCATACAGTGAGTAAGTTGGTATAACCCTTCCTCGAAGATTTTAAGAGCGTTTTAAAAAAACAAAACAAAAACCAGACATTTGACGCTAATAGGGCCAAATCTTCACTGTAGCATAAAGGGGGGGGGGGGAAGCATAACTTCAGTGCCCCAAGTGGGTGGGAATTAGAGGGGTGGTGCTTAGATAAGTGATGCTTTAGCCATACAATGAAGTAGTGTTTCTCTCTTAAATGAGGCTTTTCTTTCGGTGTTATGGGTAATTTTTTTCTTTGTGTTTTTCCGAGAAGTAGCATATTCTAGAGAAGTTTTAAAAAGCACCGTCTTTGAATTAGACTGCCTGGGTTTGAATCCATGCTCTCCCACTTACGAGCTTTGTGACTTTGGGCAATTTAGTCTCTGTGCCTTGGTTTTTCCATCTGCAAAATGGGGATGAAGGATAGTACCTACCTTGCAGAGACTTGAGGATTAAAAAAAGGCGTTCCATGTAACGCACTTACAAAAGTTCTTGGTAAGCATTCAAAAGATATGAAGCATTTATTTTCAAAAATTTTCTCTATTGAACATCATATACATCTAAGAAAAATGGTTGAAAATTTTGAATCCAGCCATTAAAAAAAGTAAGATAGGTGTTCTTCAGTCCAATATAACTATAGTAAATCTTTTAGTGTATTTAAAAAAAAAAAATTTAGAGCTTAGTTGATTTCATACAATACTTTTTCCCAACATTCTGTTATAAAATTTTTCAATTTTATAGTAAACACTTCTCTACCTACTGCCTAGATTTTACCACTAACATCTTTGTATACTTAATTATGTATCTTCCCATCTATTTATTCCTCTATCCATCTAGCAGTCCATATTATTTGATTGATTTTGAAGTGAATTGCAGACATCCGTACTTCAGAATGGACATCGTTAACTAGAGTTTAATTTTTTTTTTGAGGCAGAATTTATATACAGTGGAATATACAAATTTTAAATTTGAGTTTTGAGACATTCCTTTATAACCCAAACCCATGACAGTATATAGAACATTATCCTCACTGCAGAAAGTTCCCCTCGTGTTCCTTGTTAGTTCATCCTCCACACCAACCCTCAGAGACTATTCCTGTTCTGATTTTTTCCCCCCATCAAAACTTTGTTTTGCCTTATATAAATGAAACCGTACAGTTTGTACTCTGAATGTTTTCACTTACGGATAACATTGTGAGGTTTATCCATGATGCTGGCTTATATCAGTACTTCATTCTTTTTTATTGCCTAATAGTATTTCATTGTATGGATGTACCATATCATTCTCCTGGTGACATACAGAACTTAGAAACATAAGATAGAGCACTGGCGTACTTTTATCTGGAAGGTAGCATTAATATGATTATGGTTGGGTTGAGGCCAACAGATAATGTGTAGGCATTGTACTAGTTCTGTCACAACAGACATTGAATTTTTTTATTGCTTTTAAAAACGTATAAGAGTGGTCCAGCTTCTTGCTCTAGTAGTAATTGTCTCCACAGAAGAAGAATCTTGTGACAAATTACATTTTTAGAAGAGGAGTAGAGAATTCTTTTCCCTTTTTCCCAGAAGAATTTTTTTTTTCCTGTCTCTGAGCAGAACCATGGTCTTGGTGATATTTGTAACACTTTTTTAAAATGTTTTTATTTATTTATGCATTTTATTTATTTATTTATTTATTTATTTAGAGACAGAATGTGCAAGTGGGGAAGGGACAGAGAGAGAGAGAGAGAGGGAGAGAGAATCCTAAGCAGATTCCACACTATCGGTGCAGAGCCTAGTGCGCGGCTCAAACTCATGAACCGTGAGATCATGACCTGAGCTGAAGTCAAGAGTTGGATGCTTAACCGACTGAGCCACTCAGAAGCCCTGGAACACTTTTTGTTTTTTAAGTATCGAAATAAACAGTTCATATACAAGGGGGAAATGATGGCAGTAAATGTAGTACATTTCTTATCCCTTAGGGTATTTTTCTTATGAAGATGTTCATAAATTGAATACTTCATATGTTTGTGCATTGGCTATTGTAAATGATGCTTCAGTGAACATCTTTGCATGGCCAGGTTTGCCTGTATCTCTGATTATTTCTTGTGAATAGATTTTTAAAAGTGTTCATGATATGTCAGAGGGTTATGGCCATTTAAGTTTCTTAACACACACATTGGTAAATCGCTTACCAAAAGGGTAAGCAGTGTACATTCTAACCAGTAATTCATAGGAGTAGGCACGTGTCCTTGCCAATTCTTTATTTTATTTTATTTTTTGACGTTTATTTATTTTTGAGACAGAGAGCATGAACGGGGGAGGGTCAGAGAGAGGGAGACACAGAATCCGAAACAGGCTCCAGGCTCTGAGCTGTCAGCACAGAGCCCGACGCGGGGCTTGAACTCACGGACCGCGAGATCATGACCTGAGTGGAAGTTGGCCGCTTAACCGACTGAGCTACCCCAGCGCCCCTATTTTAAAGATAGAAATGAGATGACGGGGGAAAGCATGGTGTCTCTTGCATATACTTCTTTAGGAATGAGCTGAGTATTTTCAGAGGACATGGGTAAACTTGATTGTAAGTGTTAGCATTATGTTAGTTGTGACCCTTTAATTTTTCAACCTTGAGGTCAGGGTGGCCAGTCAGGAGAGAAAATTGTGTGAAGTTCAGTCATGTATTTTACCACAGAGGTAACTAGGTATTTATGAGGGCTAGTTCTGAGTTTCTGCTCTGATTTTAAAACTTGGTTCTTTTTGTTTTCTTACCTAGCCTGAAGAAAATCCGTGGCAAAGTCTGGAAGCAGAGAATATCTAGCCCTCTGTTCAACACCAAACAATACACAATGGAACTAGAGCGGCTCTATCTACAGATGTGGGAGCATTATGCAGCTGGCAACAAACCTGATCACATGATTAAGCCTGTTGAAGTCACTGAGTCGGCCTAAATACTGTGTGAACAGGAGATTACCCCTGTACCTGAGCCTCAACTTTCCAGGGAAAGGGAACTAGAGAACGTACTTTTTACTTACTGTACAGTATCATGTTGCAGATGGGTGACAAATGATCATAGAATAGCACAGCCAGACTTGCTTCCTGCATGATAGGGAGAGACACGAGATGGGAAACTGCTGTCCCACAAGGAATCTCCACAGAATTTTGCAGCAATCAGGTGGTGCGTAGGTCTGGAAGGTCTGCTCTCCTTTGGTCTTCCATGGGATGGTTAGTGTGGAGGGGAGATGGAGATTGTCCAGCCGTTTTGTGATTCCATGGATTGATCAAGTCTTCTGAATTAATTTTTTCTTTATATTTTGGGTATTGGAGCTTTTAAAAATGTTTGGTTTCAGGTATTTTTATTCACGTGAAGTGTATATGATTCTCTTGAGATAAGGTTTTAAGCTAAAATGTTGCCCCTTGTTTTAGTTTCTGAACTCTACAGATTAACGGGGACTTTGCTGGTGTAGTCTTTTTATAGGTTTTATAAACCACTTGAGCCTATATCAGTCATTTTAGTGTCTGACCTAACGTTTGGAACTATCAGTGCTTTGTTGGTTTAGATGATGACTTAAACATTTTGTTTTTCTGGTCCGTTTCCCATTTCCTTCTCTTCCCTTCCCCCACTTTAAAATTTCTCCTGTAACTCAGCTGACGAAACGAAGTCTGATTTTAAACATCCCAGAGTGTTTCTCTCAAACACGTCATCTGGTGCCAAATGAAAATTCTTAGGAGTGATCATTATGCAGGGCGTAGTTGTGGTACTGCCATTGATGATGATGATATAGATTTTTTGGGCCTAGTTTTGACCTATTTCACCAGTGTTTTACCTTTGACTGCCCCTCTATGCTGCTTCCAAAAGTGATAATGTGTGATAAGATTTTTACCTTCCTTTCTCAAGTTTGTTTTTTTAAGTGAGTCCTGTTCTTCCTATTTCTTTCAGCAGAAATGAAATCCCAGGTAAGTATAAGTATTCGCATATTTGATCAGTAAGTCGCAGTTATCTTCAGTACATTGAATAATGTTCATCAGAAAACATAGGTAAAAAGCTGAAGGACCAGCTGTGTAAATGAGTAATTATTTTTCAGACCTTCTAGGGTATTATATAATAACTGTCTTCTGGACTTGAAGTCTGTACGGATCAGCCTCAGTGGTAGCAAACTGCACTGCTACTTGGTTTGGAGTACAAATTAGACTTTAGCCCTCCTGGAGCTTGAGTTCTTGGTGTTAAAAACCATAGGAATAAAATTCTTGAATTTCAGCAAAGGATCGAGGGCTTGAGGCTTAAGCCAACATATGAATATATGTTTTGTGTTGCTGTACTGTACTTATGCTATCCAGTAACAGATACTTTTTGTCTGCTAGTAGTGTTCTAGATTATGTCTTTCCAAAGCGCTGAGGCAGTGCACCTATTCTGTAGTTGCAGCTGATGCCTGAATGTATCCTAGTTGACAAATTATTGATTACTAAGGACTTGAATTTCTGAAAGATTCTTACTGTTAACCAAAATCTGATCAAGGAGTCCCCGATGTAATTCTTGCCAGAATTCCATGGTAATGAACTGTGTGTACCTTCTACCAATGTAAATCAAGAAGCATCAGTTAGGGATTTAATTTATTTTTTACCCGATTGAACTGTCAGTTAAAGGTTGCCGGCATGGTTGCAGATAAACTGATGTTTGAAATTCACCAAACTACTTCATGTGGAATAGGAGAATATACTTCCAGTGCCCTCAAGGCTGTGGCCTTACAGCCATTTTACATAGCACATCATTCCTCCTATAGGGATGAACTTTTTCCTGGCACGAAAAGTAGCCGCTCTGGTTGAAGCTTTGCTTATTGTAATAGGCTTTTGTTTCCAGGTAACATGTCTGTGGAAGACCTAATTCTGAATAGAGATATAGATATTATTGGAAACTAATTGTTTTTTCTATTATACTCCGCTTTATCAAAAAAGTAAACATTTAAATTGTGCTACAGAAATCCAGATGTTGTCTTGCGATCCTTAAACAATAAATGAATGATTTGCCCTTCCTGTGGCTGATGTACTTTGTGTTCTGTTAAATTGAGCGTTGGACAGAATAATTGGGTCATCCAGTGATGAAGCTTACATGTGAACAGCTGCAAACAACAAAAGGACCAGATTTCCCTAGTGTAGCTGCAATATTAAGAGTTTTCTCAGGTGTCGTAGAGGGGGTGGGGTTGGTTTAGGACCCGTTACAATGAGGACAGAGCCTGTAACTCCCAGCACACCCATTCATGTTTTTGTTGTTGTTCTTTTGCTTACGACTGCTCTGGCTTCATCTGTCGCTGTAGTCTTACTCTTTGTGTGGGCCATTCATTCACGCTCGGTATTTGAACTCAGCCACAGGTATGAGGGAGGATATCGGTGCATCAGGGACCAGAGCAGGCTGTTTAGCTGCCCATTTTCTCAGAGATCATAAATGGGGAAATTTTTTTCAATAAAATTTCAGGGGCACCTGGCTGGCTCAGTTGGTAGAGCATGTGACTCTTGATCTTGGGGTCGTGCATTCAAGCCTCAGGTTGGGCATAGTGTTTACATTAAAAAATGAATAAATTTCAGCTGATTTATGCCACCTCCCCCCCCTTTTCTGTGGGTTGTGACTCTCAAAGCCCTAAATGGTCTGGTGTGTGTTTCCTAAGAGGTGGTGGGGGCAGAAAGGTGTCCAGTAGCCTACTCATAAACATTCTTACCCCTACCTTCTGTATGTTTTGAATCTGCCTGGGTTATTTTCAGTCTACTTTAGTTTCTCCTGCCTTCAGTCTAAAGGAGTTGTGTGTCATGAATGAGCTTGTGTAACATGATTCGATTCCAGTCCTAACCCACTTTTTACTTGAAGCACATGCCTCTTCATAGTAACTACAGCTAACATTCTGGTTCTTTGCCCAAACTTCTAAGGGACACATTTATGTAACCCCCATTTTTTTTTATAGACGAGGCTTGTAGAGGTAAACTTGCAAGTTTGTTGTAGAGGTAGGGTTCTAATGATAAACCCCTTGTCACTTGTTCCCCATCCATTCAGAATACCTTTATACATGTAGGCAGTTTAGTGCTTAAGAGTTTGGATTTTGGAACCAGGGCTGCTGGAGTTTGAATCCCAGGTCTGCCACTCTCTAGCCAGGGGATCCCTGTAAAAGGAGTGCTGACACTGCCTATTTTTAAGGTATCTTAAGCATTAAACCCATATAGAACACTTGGAACAGTGCCCAGCATGAAATCAATATTAATATTATTCATATCTTTAAACGCAAGGAGGTTTTATTTGTATTCTGCTGGTTAAATGCTTAAATTCTGAAATGTATGGGTGTCCGCCAGAGAAATGGGCACCATCCAGAAAGCGTTTACTTGCCCAGTTTGTTTTTCTCGGTGTGTTTGGAGCAAGTGCCAAAAAGCCTGAAGTAACCAACCCCTCTATCTTCAGGGTTTGGAGGGTTCTGGAAACAAACGTCACCGTCCGGTGTTGCCAGGCACTGTTGGATTAATGCCTTGCTCTTATCTAGGGGTCTAGGTGGCCTTCCCCCGTTTCCTCCTAGCTCAGAGTAGTTTGGAGGGTGGGCAAACAGGCTTAGAGGTTTGGGCGATGCAAGCAAAGAGCTGGGGCTTGCTTATCCAAGTTCTCACAGATGAAACTTCTGTGGGAATATTCAGCCCAGTTCTCCCGGGTCACCCAAAAAGCTCATTTTAGGGATCGGCAAACTACAGAAACGGGCTCCGGGACCTGAACTCTGCACAAAATGGCACTTTCACAACAAAACAAGTGGCACTCGTGGAAGTGATAGACCTGACTCCGGAAGCACTATCTCTGGGCGCCAAATTTGAGTTCATAGCCACGAAGTTCAAATTTGCCGCGTGACTGCACTGTGATAGGTGGGTACAGGGAGGAGCTCAACACGTCAGTTTCCCACTTCTCGCGGAGCGTGCCTGAGCCTATAAAAAGTTTTGCGCCTGGCTTCTCAGTTGCTCCGGAGTTCCCACGCCATCCACTACTAGTTGGAGGTGAGCAACAGTCAGCTTCACCAGAGGCGGCTGTAGCAGGTAGGTGGCTTGGTGGGGCTGAGGTGGGTACTGAAGCGGGAACGATCTAGAAGCTCATCCTAGCTGAGGAGAGCTTAATTAAAACCAGGACCGCCATATGCCCTGGACACTGTCCATGAACCTTGGGACTGAGATTAGGGCAAAATATGTTGTCTGTTTCCACTTTTAAAAAAGGCTTTTGGAAGAAGCGATTTTAAGCCTTGTTACACTGTGCTAAAGCGAAGATGAGGAACGGGGGGGCCTGAGGGATCCCAGTGGGGGCCCGAGGGAGAAGTGGCTTGGGGGAGGTGGCCTGCGATTGTACAGGGGAACAATTGTTGCGGAGGAGCGCCTAGGCCTGAGAATGGTTGGCTGGGTGAGACTGGGGTGTGGTGGTGGGGGAGGTGGCGTGCTGGCTAGGGCATCCGGGCATTCGATGCCTGATCAGGGAAGGCAGGCTGAGGTCAGAGCAGGGGGTAGAAATGGGGGCAAATGGAGGGTGGGTAGGAGTGTGTGTGGGGGGAGGGTCAATGCCTGATCTGCTAGCTGCGGCGAGTGGGGTGTAAGGGAGATTTTGAGGCCCAGTTGGTGTAAGACCTGGGGACAGAAGGGGCTGGAGGCGCGGGTGAGTGAAGGTTTTGAGGCTTGAATGGTGCAAGCCTGGCTGGGTGGGGAAGGGGAAGGGGTCTGAGCCTGTAAGACCTGGGAGTAAGGTGTCGAGGACTGGTTGGTGCAAGACTGGCAGTAGCGGGGAGGGGTCCGGGCTTTTTGCTGCAAGACCTGGGGCTGGGGGAAGGGCGGATGAGTGGAGGCCTCGATGCCTA